GGTTATTGATGCAAAACTGCATAGGATGCATTATACTCTATTGCTGTATATTTGTAGAAAAACATTGAAAATTTTAATTACGAAATGGGAACTATAGTAGCCTAAGTGTTCAGCACCTTCAAAGATGTGTGAGGGAGGCCACTCTTTCCAATATCACCCAAATACATGACCTAATTGCGTTTTTCTTTCTCAATCTAAGACAATCATTCCATAGTTTCCCTCTCTGTAATTATTTCTAGAAAGGGACAACTGCTGCCATGTACCCTTTCCCCCACCATCCCTCTTTGTGGCTCCTAACCTCTAGAAGTCTTTGCACTCTAGAGGACGTGGCTGTTGATGGCTAAAAGCATTAAACAGAGGGGTAAAGTTCTCTTTGTCCACTCTTTCTTAGACTCAGACGGTCATTCCTGACTTGATGTATTAAGAACTTTGTGAACAATGCAAGGCTATTTGACCCCTACCCAAAACAAGCAGAAAAGGAGAAGCAAAGCTTGTTTTTATTTTATGATTTGCCAGTCTATCTCAAAGATTCAGTAAGATGTTGGCAGAAGGAAAGGGGGAATTGGTCACCAGGTCCCAGGAGGAGGATTTCTAATTCAAGAGCTTGACTTTCTCTTGATAACATGATTTCTATGAAGTTCCCCTTGGCCACGTACCAAGCTCACTTTTCTAGCTAGAACAAGGAGGTACCACCAGAGAACCAAGGCCCCAGAGATTCACCAGTCAACCACATTACTAGAATTTATTTCAGACTTGGGAAAGGTTCAGCCCAGCATTTTGAGCTCCATGAATCCCATGAACCCCATGCAGTCCAGTGGATCCAGTTATCTAGTCAGAAATAAAGGAAACTCCCCAATCAATTGAAAAAAAAACCTCTCATCTAATCATCAGAGTTATTGTCACCTGAAAGACCAAGGATGTTGGAAGGTTCAATTAAATGATTTCAGGGTAAGAGGGAAAGAGGAACTACAAAAATATGAGGGCCTGTTATGAAAAAGTTCTCAAAACCATCAGCATGAAGCCTTGAAAAGTTCCAGCAGTTCAACATACCTTTGTATCTTTGTATCGCCAAGACCTAGCACAGTGCCTGGAATACAGAGGGCATTTGCTAAATGCTTGTAGAATGGATGAAGGGAGGTAAAGTTGACTTGGGATGTGACTTCTGGGAACTTTTCTACTTCATGGAATGAGAGCCCTGGGAACAGTTGTGTTAAGCTAATGAATAACCATTCTGGTGTCCTGGTGCAGTTTTTCAGAATTATCTGAAGATCTCCTGTAGCTGAGATTCCTTTCTATTGCTCTATTCTTACCAACCTCTCTCCCTACTCTAGTCTTCTGACCCAGTGGTTAGCATAATGACCAATTCAGAAGATTTCATGTAATGGATTTCCATATGCCTATGTTATGAGTAAATACATCCCCAAAGACTGCCCAGTCATCCTTTCATTCATAAAAAACAGCAGGTGATTTTAACTCCTTCATGGATGACAGGAAGGGCACTAAGTCATCAAAACATCAGGACTGTTATCAAATGGCTAAAACTTTCCTTTCATGAATAAAATTCAGGAATTGTGCCAAAAGCTCAAGGAAGAAATCCTGAATTGTCCATAGATTTTTAAAATCCCCTTGATTAGAATTCTATCGCATTTCTGAACTGCTTCTCTGCCACCACGACCTTCTCCTGCTAGGAGGACACCAGTGAGACATCTCCTAGTGATAGCCTAGGCTTTAGGACAAGCTGGATGCTGTATTAAATCCCTACTCTTCTGCCTTTTCTTTCCCTTGCTTATATACCAACACCTATTACATATCCTGTCATTTTGTTACCAGGCTGGCTTTGGCTCAAGAATTAGGTAAACATCAGTCATTCCACCACACACATTTAGACTTCATCTTATTTTATAATGATGTTAATGTTTATTGTACAAAAATTAGATGCATCTGTATATTTTAGCATTTTATTTCAGTCACAGAACGCAAAAAAAACCCTCGACATTGGAATCAGTTTGATTTTTTTGTGATTGAAGATATTAAACACTACAAGAGCGTGGAAATTTCAATCTGATTAGGATCAAAATTCCTCAGGATCAAAACACTTCTTTTTTCCCCCTACAGTTTTACTAATTGTGTGATACTTGACATTGCGGAGTTATTCCACAGCATGATAGCTAAATACGTGAAGTGTATTTTACTGTTTGGAATTATCAACTCATTCTATTTGTTTTTAATGTGTTTAAGGTTATTAAAAGAACCCAAAATTAGAAGTTGCGTGTATGATTTAAAAGGGTGAGCTCAATCATTGCAAGCAGGCAAAATCACAAACAAGAGCTTGGATGACAACAGGAATTTCCTTTCCAAATCGTAACCAAAAGAAATAATGAAGAGACACAAAATTTGAAAGCAGACTTTTGTGTGTGTTAGGAAGCATGACACCCAGAAAAATCAGGCAATAGGGACCACCAGGAATGGAATGATTGTTTATTTTTTACAAATCTCAGATTACTTCGACTGATGGAAATGAGATAAAAATAGATTTGGGAGAAAAGAATCCAACATATTTGTTGGAGAACTTTTGCCTCATGGGAAGAAATGAACTGCCCTGGTTCACTGTTCCTGAGGAATTGTGCTATAGGTGTAAATCAAATCCCAGAGAGATAGTACAATATTTTCCAAGCAGCCGGCCTACACTTATCCAAAAGTATATTCATGCTTTCCTCCAAAGGTCCTTCTGTCTTGAACCTCAGCTACAGAGTACCCAATGTTTCTTCTCAGAGAGCATCATTGATTTTTTTTCCAGTTAATTGAGGAGACATATACTTGGGTGATACATGCCACCTAAGAAGCAAATTCATTCTAAGGAGCAAATGTATTCTCTAAGTCACTGACCTGCTCAGGGCTAAGAAGAGACTCTGAGGAAAGGTAATCATACAAAGGGGAACTATTTGCACAGAGAAGCACTTCCACAGAGAGCTTCACACAGTGAACTTGGTCCTATGTTTACTACTATAGTAATCATAATAGCAGCTAGTATTTCTGTAACACTTTAAAGTTTGCAAAACTTTAAAAATGTTATCTCATTCCATCCTCACAGCAATCTTGTGAGGTAAGTGCTATTATTATTCCCATTTTAGAGATGAGAAAATTGAAACTCAGAGGTTGTGACCAGAGTCAGTAAGTATCTGAGGCAGGATTTGAATCTGGATCTTCCTGACACCAATTCCAACACTCTATCTAATACTTCACCCAGCCATATCCACACCTAATACTGTTAAAGATAGATAAGATGGTTGCATTTGGAGGTGGGGTGGAGGGCGGTGGTGAGGGGATGTTTTGGCCTTAACGAGATCATCACTGTGTATAACCACCAGTGTGGAACTTATAGTTTTAGAGAGTTCCTAAGGGCACTGAGAAGTTAAAATGACTTTCCCATAGTCACAGAGCTAGCATGCAGTACTTTAATCTAGACCATTCTGACTTTAAGACCAATCCTCTTTCCACCAGTTTCGTGGGTTTTTTTTAAGGAAAGGGGGTGTCAGTTTATCGAATCTTTTGTGTGCTTTTCAGGGTTTAAAATCTCATGTTTCATAAATGGGTTTCAGGGAAGCAATTGAAAAAGAAAGAAAAAAAACCATTTAACTCAATTTCCCTTAACAAAAGCACACAGGTACTGTCTATTTTGTTGGCTTTTACTAAATGAATTTTTTTTATTCCCAGTTTATTTTGTCACCCCCAAAATCCATTTACAACTCCAGATATGAATTAGGAGATCTAAAGGGGACTTTGAGATATATGACTGATAGTATGAGTTTAGATTTTTAATAAGAGCCCCCAAAAGGGCAGAAAGGCGCCCCCCTTTCTCCATGTTGGTAGGGGTTGGGGGGAATGGAAATCCCAGGTTCCCTTAAGGACTGTGAAGTCACTGACCCTTGGCCTTCTGAGGCTCTGGGGATCCTTTCCCAATGGCTCGCAGTGCATCTGCACAGCCAACGTTCAACAGAGACCCAGGAAAACCGCCTGTGAACCACTTTGAGTAGGTTACTGCTCTCACACAGTTGGTTCTGCCTTGCTCATATGCTCAGCTATCTCACGTGCCAGAAAGTTCAATCTCAGGGTCAAGATCTTGGAATCAGATTCAAAGAGCTGAGATTGGTTTCTACCCCCCCCAGGAGAAGGGGGATGGAGGTGTCTGTTAATCTGAATAATCCCCTCTCCAGAAACAAAGTGAACAGACAGTGCAGTTGAGCACGGCTGTAACTGGGGAAGGACAAAGGAAACACTTTGATATGCTACGAGCTACTCCTTCGGCTGTCTCTCCCTGGCCCCCCCCCCCCCCTTAAATGCAAGATAAGCAGGGATTTTTATGTGGTTCTCATCTATTTGGATTTTTAGCTTCTTTGCCTCCCTCCCTCTTTCCCCAAGCATGTTTGGAGCTGAGGTTGCGAGCGCAGAAGCTGGAAGGGTGAACATCACCAGCCTCCCCAGGGAGAGGCCCCTTTCATTGTCTAGGCCACTTGGAGTTTATTGTTCGTTGTTGTCATTGAGCTGTTTCAGTCATATCCAACTTTCATGACCCCATCTGGGGTTTTCTTGGCAAAGACACTGGAGTAGTTTGCCATTTCCTTCTCCACTCATTTTACAGATGAGGAAACTGAGGCAAACAGGGCTGAGTGACTTGGTGTCTGAAGCTGGATTTGAACTGAGGAAGATGAATCTTCTTGACTTCAGGCCTGGCACTCTATCCACTGCCCCCCCTAGCTACTCTGCTTGGAGTAAGCATCTGGAAACCCAAGTCCTATGGTCCTCAGACTCCATTTTCGATTAAATTTTGAGAGAGGCAAAAGTGTTCACACCTTTTACATCTGGAGAGATCACTGGCTTCTCTTTTGGAGAAAAGGCCTCGCCAATAGGATAAAGGAAAAAAATGAGGACTGAAACCAAACATTTTAAGAGCAAGATGAAAGCACTGGACCAGGTTATTTTGACATAAAGGAGGTACTTACAGTCTAAGTGACTGTGCCTGATTCCTTCCACATCTTCGGCGTGAATGAAGTGGTAACATCTCTTCCCTACAATATCTACAGGGGTCAGATCCATGTAATCACTAATCCTGCAGAGAAAACACACACACACACACACATACACAGAGGCTATAATTTAGAAAGGATGAGAAATATAGGAACCATCAATGACTTAGAAAGAGAAGTCCACCAAAACATTTCTCATTACACCAAGCATATGTATCTATGGAAGTTGCACCTATTTATTGGAGGGAGAAATCTGCAGAGATAAGATTGCTTGTTTAAAATATAATGGACATTTGCGTTTTACAAAATGGGAAATGTACTGGAGTAAGTTTATGTGTTTTAATAATTTGGAAGTATGATGAAGCAGCATTTTTTTTTGGGAGGGGGGCTGGTAGACCGTCCATTTAGTCAACATAATTCCATGAAATTAGACAGCTTCAACAACAATGCAAAAAATCCTCATTAAAGGCCAAGATAATTCAAGGTTACATAATAAAATAAAAACATGTTATGTTTTTACCAAATGATTAGAGACACCTTTCATTTAAACAGATTGGTCTTCTATTGGGTATTTTCATGAAAAAGAGCTCCCAAACGTTTCTTGGCACAAAGTCCAAATTGACATTTCAAGGGATGTAATTTAAATGCTGAGACATACAGATGCCTGGGGGTGTTATCTTTTTTAGTCTGAGTCATTTGGGAACTCAGCTTTCACTCCTGGCCCTTTGAACTGGGACTTTGTGGTTGATTCCACATAGAAAGTTTTAAGCCATTTTTGCTTCTTTTCTTGGCCTGGGTTCTACAGTATGTGTGTGTAAGGCACTGCCACTGATTGTCCAGATGTCAATGTCCTTGGGCAGGAGTACAGAAGAATATAACCAAAATTGAAAAACATGTTGGGGGAACCTGTCTGGTCTACACAGACATTTCAAAATGTTCCGTCCTTCCCTATAACCCCCAGGATCAGATTCTGTTCCTCAGACCCAAAATCTAAAATGGTCTTGTTTGTTGATTCCCTCCCCTCTGTTCCCCTTCTCATCTTCATGCTTTTTTTTTTTAAAGGAATAAAGCCTATTTATTCAGATATTCAAGGAAGATTTTGACCAGGTTTACTATAACTTTATATATATCTGTTCAAATGTGAATGGACTCTTTTACAAGTGGAGATGGTTTGAGAAGTCAATGACACTATTTATTTTACAGTTAAGTGGTCCTGGACTGTTCCCTAAGCTGGGACACTCATGAATGCTGGATTATACACACACATGTACATATATATGTGTATGTGTGTGTATATGTGCATGTACACACATACATGTGTATGTATGTATACATATGTATGTATGTACACACATACACATTATCTTCTCAATGGCTTACACAATATCTAGCCATTCAAAAATGTGCTTTGACTAAAATAGAATTCTTGGCCAAAGTAAGACTGGTTTAAAAAAAAAGGGATAACTTTTTGATGCTCTATGGGTCCAGAGCTGAAAAGTGGTATTTTAGGGTAGGTGGGAATTTTACCAAAACAATTAGGATATTTTTTCAGCACAGGCTACTTCCTCTTCCTGCAGGGGAGGGAACCAGAGTGCTATTTAAGAAAAATGCATGGTGGGTTCTTTGAAATTTCCTTGATATTCCAAGAGTTGCAATTTGGTTTGGCAGAGAAAGCACTGGTTTGGGAGTCAGATTGCCAACCCCCCTCCCCCAATCAAATCTTACTTAGTGTTTGATCTCAGGGAAGTCACTTTTCTTCCCTATATCTCAGTCTCCTAATCTGTAAAGCAAGGAGGTCTAGATGGCCTTTGACATCCTTTCCAGATCTAGATCTCCAAATAATTCCAAAGTTTAATAACTGCTTTGCATGGGGTCAAGCATAGGCAATGTTATAAAATAAGAATGATAAATTCAAATTTTGGAATAAACTACAACTTTAAAGCAATAATTATAAGCTAATAGAGGGGGCAAGCATTTATTAGGTGCCTACTATGTGCCAGGCACTATGTTAAGCATATTAAAAATATTATATCATTTGCTCCACACAACAACCTTGTGAGTGATATAGAAACTTCAGTTTTTATTATTAAAAAATTCTGTGAGGGTTGTTTTAATTATTTAATTGCTAGTTTTTACATACTGCTTCAAAGTTTGCAAAAACACTTTACAAATATCTCATTTTATCTCACAATAACCTTATCAGGTAGGTGCAATTATTATCCTCATCTTATAGCTGAACAAACTGAGGCAGGCAGAAGCGAAGTTACTTACCAAGGGTCAACACAGTGAATAAATATCTTAGACTGGATTTGAACTTAGGTTTTCCTGATTCCAGGCCCAGCACTCTATCCATTGAGTAACCTAGTTGCCTCATAGGAAAACAGATTAAATGACTTGCCCAAGGTCACACAGCTAGTAATTGTGTGAGGCAAGGTTTAAACTCAAGTCTTCCTGATTCCAGGCCCAGTGCTCTATCTGCTGAGCCACCTATCTGCCTCTAAAATTAAAGAAAAAATAAAATATCAACCCATGAAAGATGCCATTCCATTTTAAGCTCTAGAAGAAAAGCATTTTTTTTTTGTTTATTCTTAACACTTTGGCAAAGTGCCTTCTATATGGTAGATACTTAATAAATGTTGAGTTGAACTCAATTTATCTTCTTTTCGGGTTGACAATTATGTTCAGCCTAATATCTCTCATATCCAGATGATCAAATACGCCATCCGGCATGCATCTCCTTTTAAATAGAGATGTTTTTCCTGATCACTTTATCTTTAGCGAGAAGATTCTGTTGCATTGTTCTGGCTGACACAAGCTCACAAAAAACATGGGGTCACAGCATCCCAGATTTTGAGCTGGAAGGGACCTTGTCAGGCATCTAGCCCAATCCAATCATTTTACAGCTGAGAAAACTGAGGCTGAGAGGAGTTAAAGACTTTTCCCAGAGTCTAATGGGCAGTAAAGGAGCTGGGCAGGGACTGCAATCCAGCTTCTCTGGCTCCAAATAAAGTGCTCAATTTTTAGTTCAATTCAATTCAAGCAACATTTATCAGGTGCCTACTATGTATGATGCCATGTTCTAGGTCCTGACTTCTTGCCAACGATGACTCAACACTAGAGGATGGCTAGGTAGCTACACTAGACAGACAGAGAAAGAGAGAGAGAGAGAGAAAGAGAGAGAGAGAGAGAGAGAGAGAGAGAGAGAGAGAGAGAGAGAGAGCAACTACCTTATTTTAAACAACTATCTGTTTCAAAACCCTATCTGGTCCCAATGACACTAACACATGATGCTGTTGTAGCTCAGTCATTTCAGGCATGTCTGACTCTTCATGACTCCATTTGGGGTTTTCTTGGCAAAGATATTGGAGTGGGTTACCATTTCCTTCTCCAGCTCATTTTACAGATGAGGAAACTGAGGGCAAACAGGGTTAAATGACTTGCCCAGGGTCACACAGCTAGTGAGTATCTGAAACCAGATCTGAACTCAGGAAGATGAGTCTTCCTGACTCTAGGCCTGGCACTCTACCTACTGTGCCATCTAGCTGCCCTCACACATAATGACCTCCATCCTTTTACAAATTAGGCTGAAAAGGGGATTTTAGGTGAAGATTTCTTTGCACTACCCTATTCTCTAATTCCATCTAACCTTACAGTTTAATAGCATATAAACAAGTACTGGACCTCTGATTTTGCTGATATAGGGAACCCTCAAATAAGGAAACTCTACTGATTCAGGTGGCCTCCTTGTCTACAACTTATAGAATTAGACAACTGTTTAGAGCGCTAAGAAGTGATTTGCCCAGGGTCACACAGCCAGTATGAGTCAGTGGCAGGATTTGAACAAGTCTCCCTAGCTCTGAGGCCAGCTTTGTATCCACTGCTTTCATTAATGCCATAAATGGCAGAAGGAAACTTTTTAACTATAGGCTGAAAATTCATTTTAAGAGCTCAGTGATGAGGAAAAGATGCCAATTCATTTATGGGATGACTCATCTTTTTAATTTATAAGAGTGAAATACTCAGGATTATGTGGTATTACTTAATAGTTTTGCAAATTCCCTTCTCCTCTTTTCTTCCTTTCTCTTCCTTCATTTCCTCATTTGTACTCCATGTACTTAAGTGCTCTTCTGAAATGTTGACAGTTAAGAGGCCAGAGACCTCACATTATAGCCAGGAAACAGGCCCAGCTGGGATGTCAGCAGGACCCCTTTCACTAGATTGTTTCATCAGTGGGCCTAAACCTCATCCTGACTTCTCCTTGGCTACCCAGTCAATCAGGGTTTCCATTATAGCAAGGTGGTCCTGGTGCTTTTCTTTCATTGTATTGTGAACCCTAATGTAAGTATTAAGTAAAAAGCATGTTTGGTGTCAGTCCAAAGAGCTATTAACAACCTCCATCAATGCTCCATAGGAAAATGAGATTTCAGGCAAGGCAGAAGACACACAGAATACACACACAACACTGAAAAAGGAAAAGAAAAATGAAGTACCTATTTTCACAGTAAATGATATTGAGGTCCATATTTACTCGAGTAACAAACATGTGGCAGTCGATCCGGACTTCATTGATCGTAGGAGGGGGCAAAGCATGGGCGACCACTACAAGACCCATGATTTGGCTGGGGACTGTCCGACCGTGGGACAAAGACACTCTCAGACGTAACCGGCCTGTTATGTGAATCACCTGGAAGAGAACACAAGACAGATGATGGGATCAGTCCACTTAAAACACAGATGCAAAGTACTCCATTTGAGAGGCACAGAATTAGGCTTAGAGCAGTAATTAATAGCTTGCATCTTATCATAATGGCCCTAAGTGTCCTCTCAGCAAGAGACAAAAGAAAAATGGTGTTATACCTACAGTCTCCAAGTCAGCATCTTTTGGGCTATTGATGCTTTTCAGGACTTTAAAAAAAGGGTTTAACTAGGGAGTTTATTAGCTTAGTCTTGAAATACATAATATAAAATTCTTGAAGTCATGGATAGTGCTTGGCGCATAGTAGGTGCTTAATAAATACTTTCCCTTTACCCTCCTCCCTAACCCACAGGTCACTCAGACCTGATTGGGGGTGAGGGGTGGAGGGAAAGAGTGTCAACATGAAATGCCATAGACCCTGCTCTCACGTAGCTTTTAATATCACAAGAGGCCGGGCTCTGTAATTGACCAAAATGGCCAATGACATTATTTAGGATGTGATCTTTCTTATAAAGATACCAAATAAAATGGTACAAGGAGGACTTACAGTATATCCTGTGGCAATTCAGTGATTCTTTCACAGAATAAAGACTTTGTTATACTTGTTTATAGCAAGAGTATCATCATTAGCATAATTATACAATCATATTATTAATACCAATATATTATGTTTGCATAGTACTTTTTTGTGGTTGTTGCTGTTTAGTCATTTTCAATCTTGTCCCATTCTTCATGACCCCGCTTGGGGTGTTCTTGGCAAAGATACTGGAGTGGTTTGCCATTTCCTTCTCCAGATCATTTTTTAGATGAGGAAACTGAGGCTTACAATTTAGAAAATATCATTATATACAACATCTCAACTTATCTTCACAACATGACTATGAGGTAGGATGGGTGTTAAAAATGTTGTCTCTTTTTTGTTCTTTTTAGTTTTGGGTCTGTGATTTCATACATGTGGGGAACTCCTGGTGGAGAAACAACTTTCACCAATGCAGACTGCCAACTCATCTGTAACTTGTAATTTTAGAGCACTTTGAGGTTAAGAGACTTTCTCATAGATCTTCTCCACAGATCTCTCTCTCTCTCTCTCTCTCTCTCTCTCTTTCTCCCCCACCCACTCTCGAATGCATTTTAATATATTCTCTTTTTTGAGATGATTGTCACTTTTCACCTTTCCCTCTTTTCCAGTAAACCTTTACCCTCTTCTTGTCTCCTCACCTCAACATCCCCACACAGTGGGGATATAAGCATAGGGTTACTTAACTTTATGTCTTTTATGTCTTAAGTATAAAAGACATAGATTTAAAGCAAAAATAAATCAGTACCCTTGTCAGGTTCTGATGACATATGCCTCATTCTGCATCTAATGCCCATCACCTCTCTGCCAAGAGGTGAGAAGAATGTTTATCTCATTTTATAGATGGAGAAATTGGGGTCTAGAAAGTTAAATGATTTGCCCAAGATCACATAGATATTAAATGGGTCTTTTGGTAGCAAATATACTGATTTTTCTACTATGGCATATTGACTTCTCTTGAGAACCTTATTAGAGGTTTAGCCAGGATACCTAGAATAAAATAAATTCTATTTCTCAACCAAAATACTTTAAACAAAATTTTAAATGCCTACTAAAGATTTTTATGTGAGAGTTTGTAAACTTTGGGTTCTTAACGTGGGGTTCATGAACTTATTTTGAAAAATATTTTGATATCTCTTCTGATATAATTGGTTTCCTTTGCATTTTAGAATATTACTCTGAGAAGGGGTTATAGGCTTCAAGAGACTGCCCTAGGGGTCTGTTAAAAGGAAAATTCTTTATTCAGGCTTTCATTCTGATTAATGAGGCAAAACTCAGGGCAAAGAGAATTAAAAGAGTTTATTAAAATATGCCAAGGTAGCAATACTGGATATCAGCAAGGGTTTCAAAATGGAGCCAGTTTTTATTGATAACTTTTATAATGAGATAAAGACAATTTGGATAGGTCCACATCAAGTAAAAGGAGATGGGCCATTGCATCTCAATTCCTCTCCAAGGAGGCAGATACATGATGTTAAACAGATCGGGGTACAAACATCACAGGGAGGTGTAGACAATGAATAAACAGCAGGAAATACAAAAGCTGCAGACTGGGAAAGGCCTCCTCCAACAGAACCTCCCTCAACACTGATTTACAAGTAGGGCTGGGAACAATGGGTCACTAAGTCTGCATAACTTTCCACAGGCACATGATACCACAAAGGTTGAGGACCCCTGTTATGGACCAAAGCTCTTTGTTTATAGATCACACTCAAGAACAGACCCTTGCATTGGCTTCCTTTCCTGTGATTGTACCTCACAAAGAGACTTTCCAAGGAAGGATTTGAAATTAGAGGATCTTGGCTCAACCTCTAGTCCTACCACTTGCTTCCTAGTCCCTTAACCTCCCTGGGTCTCAGTTTCCTGATCTGTAAGATGAAAGAGTTATACTATACGCTTCTGAATTCCCTCTTGCTCTACACCTAAGATGCTATAACTAACACCACCCCTAAGGGTTTAAAACTCCAGCAAATCTTATTTTATGCTCCTCCCTCTTTTTTGCCCCACTTCCCTCTTAGCATCTTTATTCACTTAACAGGAAGGAGCTGTGATTTCATTACTATGGGTGACTACCAGTGTGGGAACTCCTCCACCAACCCATCAGTGCTTTAGTAGAGGAAAGTTATGAAGTTACTTGAGACACATAGAATCTATAGGATTTGTTTATATAGTTAAAAGAGGCAGTGTTATGTAGAGGGTAGAGCCCCAGCTTTGGAACTGGGAAGATATGGCTTCAAACCCTGTTTTAGACACCTATTAGCTGTATGACCTTGGATAAGTTATTTAACTTTTCAGTCCTCTGGGCAGTTCTCTAAGACTATCAAGTTGTAAAGAAAGTGACTACCTATTTTGGTAGAGACAATTTTCTCATCCAGGGAATTGTCTGTATCAGTCAAATCGGAAGTCCAGTCCCTATTCCCATCCCTATTTAGATAGCAAATGTGAAAGGTAGAATTTGAACCCAGGTCTTCTGATTTCAAACCTCACATTCCATCTATTATTCTATTCTATTATGTTCTATTTTAGTATGTTCATACATGTGCAAATTAGGTTAAAATAAACATTAAGGCTCATAGAATTATAGATTGGAACTGGAAGGGAACTTTAGAGGCCTTCAAATCCAACTCCCTCATTTTAGAAATTAGAAGACTCTGTGACTGGCCCAGTTATTAACATACTAGTCAATGCCTGGGGCAGAATTCAAATCCTGGTCTTCTTGACTGCCACATCAGCACTCCATCTAGTATGGATGTCCTAAGATGACCTAGACGTCAAAAAGAAGGCATATTAAGGACCACCGGAAGTCTGAGAGATGTGTGAAGGAGGGGGAGGAGCAATTCTTTGTCTCTGCCTCAGGGATGATAGGGGTGGGCTGGGGCAGGTTGTGGACTGACCACATGGAACAACAGATGATATAGCTACCTTGTTCTTCCCTATCAGTTTTCTCCCTGGGTCACCCACTGCCTAATTGCCAGTCCCTTCCAGAATGAGAAGACCTAGGAGTAATTGTCTTTATGCACCATATCATAGAACAGGAGCTCTGGTGAGCATGTTACTTAGTGAAGCCTTTGGGGAGCCCAAGGTCAGAATACATCTGAAAACCAAGTACTTAAGGGTCTTCTCTGACTTTGCTCTCTTGCTATGAGTTACCAAAATTGGGGGGTAGGAAGAATGTATGAGTCATCTGGTCACTGCTACCCTGCCCTGGGTGGAAACCAGTCAGCCAGTCAGTCTATATTTGATTACCATTTGCTTTGAATTATTTAGTTTTTCAAACATAAACTGAATTCTTGTCGCTGGGAAGCAGGATCAAAGCTGGAAATAGCTACACTTTAGAGTTCTAGCTATATTAAATAATACCTCTCCCCTGCTATATTTTACATTTGTGCCCAGAGCCGATGATCTGGAAATGCCAATGAGAATGATTATTTAGTCAATTTCAGCAGTAGTTTTCCGACCACCCACATTTGAAGTTGACTAAATTCATTCTTAATGCACCTTCAGTCGGTCTAGCTACTTTATGAATATTTGAAGACGTTCCTAGAGGCAAGGATGCTAAAACACCATCTCAGACACACATTTTTGCAAGACCTCATTAACTAATAAAGAAATAGCTAAAAGAAACCGGATTAACTTCACAGGAGGGGCGCTAATAGTCTCCATTCCTCCTTCTAGCTAGGCTTACATAGATGCTTATTTATCATTATCTGTCTCGTTTTATCGTGAACATTCAGCTTTCTGGAAAAACACAAATCTATGAATGTCTGGGAAAACATACACCCAGCAACGATATGCTAAATAAATCCCCACTCGGCATTCTACGCAAAAGCATCTTAAGCAGTACAGACTGGAAAACATTTTAAGAAGGCATCCTGGCAATGAGAGAAAGCTATGTAGTGAGTCAGATTTTCCATACATTTACTTTTCAAATTAATTTCATAATGCTAACAGTTTACATTTGGCAAGCTAAATAACTGGTTGATTTTTTTTTCACTTTTCCTTGGATTTTTTTTTTGGATGACATAATATCAGGGCCAGACTCTGATTCCCTACAAGGCATGGGACTGAGGAAAAAATTTGTGATTATGGAGTCAGAAGCCTTGGGTTCGAACCCTTGTTATGTCACTTCCTGTATGACCTCTGGGCTTTTGTTTTTTCCTCGGTAAAATGGAGACCACATGACCCTTCAGGTCCTCTCCAGCTCAAAAATCTATAATCCTATCAATAAAAGATTATGCAGGTGAAGGGATAACAAGATTGCATTAGTATTTATGCCTAAATGGTGGTGCCATTTTTGAGAGGAATGGGACTACTAAAATCATAAAGTTTTTTTAAGAACTAATTGAGTAGGATATGGTGGAAAGAGCCCAAGCCTGGAAGTCCAAAGACAGGAGTTTTGTTCTATCAGGGT